TTGTTTTGTCCATGTATGGCATCATGAAGGGTGGTCAACACAGATCTCACTTCGGTGATGGCTGATAAGATCGTGTCTCCTCAGAATGCTTTCCTTGTCTTTCCTTGTCTTCTCCTCTCTCTCTCCGTTACACAGCAATCTACCCTAGCTCACAAGCTCGCAGTGGTTCGTCTTGCCAAGCTGGCAAACCTGACACTCACTTCCCTCAAAACTGCTGCAGGCCCTGTGCAGGGTTTCCTTGTTCTTCAGGGTTTGAAATCCTGCACCCCATGAGCTAAGCGAGCAGGTACAGAGATCGAGATGCGGCGTGAGATGCAGGCTACAGCAGTCCCTTCAGACGAAGGAGCATCCGAAGATGATGAATCATGCAGCGAGCTGGACACACTGACGGCTCCGTCCTTCCCCGCCGAGGCGGAGAGGGCTCAGCCGGGCGGCAAGGGGTGGAAGTACCGCAGTGATCTCCGGTACGTGGACCAGTGGCGGGTCATCTGCATCGATATCGACAGATTCCGCACAAACAACAGAGATCTGGTGGGTGGAGAGGCAGCATCCATCCATCGCAGTGCATTGCTTGTGTGTTCTTTGTGTGTGATCTGGCCTTGGCAGTTGAAGCAGAAGATCCGCCACGGCGTCCCCGATTGCCTCCGCGGCTTTGTGTGGCAGAAGCTGGCAGCCTCGCGGGACCTCTTTAGCAAACACCCTGAGGGACTCTATCAGGTCACCGGACAGACAGACAAGCAGACACGCAGACGCACGTATGTATACGTCTGTGTGTGTCGGCTTCATTCAGCGTCTGCTTCGCGAGCCCGAGGCTGTGTGTGAGGGTGACATCTCGCGTGACATCAGCCGCACCTTCCCCAAACACTTACTCTTCAGGGAGAGATCGGGGCTCGGGTCAGCACAGCAAGCACAGCCGCGGCGGGAGGGCGATGATGGACTGTGTGTGCCTGTTTGCCTCGTCTTTGTGATGTCAGTCAGGATTCTCTGTTCGATGTCTTGCGGGCGTACAGTGTGTTCAACCCGGAAGTCGGATACTGCCA